CCATTAAAATCCGGAACCAGACAAGGATGTTCTCTATCTCCTCACTTTTTCAACATAGTACTTGAAACTCTTGCTACAGCAATAAGACAGGAAAAAGAAATTAAAGGAGTAATAACTGGAAAAGAAGAGATCAAATTATCCCTTTTTGCAGTCGATACATTATATCTAAGAGATACCAAAAATTACACCAGAAAACTTCTAGAAATTATTAACACGTTCAGTAATGTGGCAGGTTACAAAATTAACCTACAAAAGTCTATAGCCTTTCTATATACCAATAACAAGTAACCAGAGAAAGAACACATGGAAACACTCCCGTTCACAATAGCTAGGGAAAAGAAGAGATCAAATTATCTTTTTTTGCAGATGATATGATATTATATCTAAGGAATGCCAAAAATTCAATCAGAAAACCCTTAGAAATGATTAACACTTTCAGTAAAGTGGCAATTTACAAAATTAATCTACAAAAGTCTGTAGCCTTTTTATATACAAATAACAAGCAATCAGAGAAAGAGTACATGGAAACACTCCCTTTCACAATAACTTCAAAAAAATAAAAAGTATCTTGAGAATAAACCCGACCAAAGACATTAAAGACCTCTACAGTGAAAATTTTAAATCTTTAATCAAAGAGATTGAGGAAGACACCAGAAGATGGAAGGACTGCCCATGCTCATGGACTGGAAGAATTAATATTGTGAAAACGACCATCCTACCAAAAGTAATTTATAGATTCAACGCAATGCCAATCAAAATCCTCATGACATTTTTCACAGAATTGGAAAACCTATCCTACGATTCATATGGAAACATAAAAGACCTCGGATAGCCAAAACAACCCTGAGAACTAAGAGCAATGCCAGGGGGATTACAAGAATCAAGAAAGGAAGTAACCCAATTAAAAGATGGGCTAAGGAACTGAACAGAGAGTTCTCAAAAGACAAAATGAAGATGGGTAAAAAGCATTTTAAAAGGTGTTCAAAATCATTAGTAATTAGGGAAATGCAAATTAATACCATTTTAAGATTTCTTCTTACCCCAGTCAGACTGGCTAAGATCAAGACAACAAATGATACCAAATGCTGAAAGGATGTGGGGAAAGGGGAACACTCGTCCACTGCTGGTGGGGCCGCAAACTAGTTCAACCCCTATGGAAAGCAGTGTGGAGAACTCTTAAAAAACTACAAATGAACCTACCATTTGACCCAGTTATACCA